GAGGGGTGTTTGGGCAAGGGTGGTCTGGTGGAGGGTGTCCCTGCCTGCAGCGGGGGCGGGGGGGGTTGGAACTAGATGATCTTTGAGGGTCCTTCCAACCCAAACCATTCTATGATTCTATGATTCTACGACTTCAACCAGACAGCATTTCAATGGCTGCTGCTACCCAGCAGCATCTTTGCATGCAGTAGCTGTATTTGAAACTTGAAATGTGATTTAATTCTCTGATTCTGATTTTTCTCTTTCTCTAGCTCATCTTTGACATTACAGGCTTTTTTCGAGCTATATAATGGCTTTATTTATTTAACGTGCAAGATACAGGAAATGCATTCACGATAGCTTGGAGACTTCCGTATTTTCTTCATGCAAAGAAAACTTAAAGATGTTACTTAGGAGAAAGACAAAACCAAAGCAATAACTTTGTTCTCCCAGTATCCAAAAATATTTTTGAGCTTTTTTGATAAATAGCCATTAACAGCATATGTGTATATCAGGATTAAGTACAAAGACCAATAACTGTGCATCATTTTAAACCTGGAATTTTTATTTCCTGTAAAAATGATTCTATATATGACAAATTGAGGAAATAAATTGCTCTTTTTTTCTTTCTTAGCTTTCCTTTATGCCAGAGAAAGTTTTGTTTCTTCTTATGACCGCTAGAAAACTGCTGAATATGGTGTAGCATCTTTTTAAAAAAGATATTAAATTAAATAGAATCACCTTATTTTGCTTAAAAAAAAATAAAAAGTGCGATGTGTTGTGTCAGTGATTGCACACAGAGGCTGTTTAGTGGTTTGCATCTTTGATGCTGGATCTTATGCATGCTTACTGTATTAATATTTTAATGCCTTTCAAAAGATAATAATGTTTTGATCACCCTTTATTGCATTATAAAATGGCTACATTGGAGGAAAACTGTGTGAGGTTCACAGGATGAAATGAAAAATGAAATTATGAAATGAAATGGTATTTCTTGACCTCTGTTATTTCTATCTTATTGCATATCTCACAAACTTTTGCATGTAATCTGAATTAGAGATGGATTGAAGCCATAGTATTCAATATTTACTACATAAGTTTTGAAAAACATCAGTGGAGTTTTTATTTCTTTCAACTCAGCTCCTTTGCAGCTTACATTGCAGCTTCTGAGTGTAATGACTGTCCACGATTAGGAGTAGATCTTCACAAATGTTCAGCTCTGTTTGTGGTCATAGTAAATGGCTACATTTTCAAGGTTAGTCAGCCTGTGGAGTTGCATGGAAAGCGGTCCATGGAGCATTTGGAAACCTATGCCTTACTTTAATGAGGATTGTTCAAGTGGGAGCTGATTTCTTTAAAAATCTGATTGCAATAGGTGCTGCATATTTTAAAATTTGGCTTTGGGCATTTTAGAAGAGCTAGTCTGTCTTGTTCTATGACCTGATATTGTAATATCTTCCCATCAATCATTCGGAAACATTGTGGATATTGTCGGGTTTTGTTTTCTTAAAGCAATCACCAATGTTAAAACATGGGCGTTGGACAGAGAAGTGTTCCAAAATATCATGAGAGTTACAGCACAAACAAGACAAGAACAATACAGAAACTTCCTTAGAAGGTAAATATAACACATTTCTATTTGAAGTGCTGGTTTGGGCTACTTCCTAAGGTGCACAACAATACTTCACCTGTCTTTTAAAGAGACAAAGAGACGCTCTTAATGCAAAAAGCCTCAGAAACCTGAATATTTACCACTTTTGATTTTTTTAGGATTCACAAAATAATTTTTCTCATTTTTTTATTGTTTTTGCTCTGAATTACATTAGGAAACAGCAATAGGTGCTTGAATGCTTTTAAGTAATGGAACAAACATATAGGAAGGTTACATGTCTAGAAGTTAAAACAATATATTAAATAGAGTTAAATAAATACTACAACCAGAAGTTAATTTGCTGCTGGACTAGATTAAGGAATAGTCCTCATCCCTTGGAGACGTTAATATGATAAGTGCATGTCTCTCAATTTCTGAACTAATTCCAACATAAATTACTAGGAGATCTGCAGAGAGTAAAATAAGTCTCTATCTTGCAGGGAACACTGAGAGTTGTACTGTGTTTTTCCTTAGGAAGAAGGTCAAATTAGAGTTTCCAAAACATAATTAGCTGATGTCATATTTTCTTTCTTTAACAAAGAATGACCATTCTGTTATGGCTTCAAATCGAGATCTCAATCCTGGCAATGCACAGTGTCTTGCGTATTTTTGCATCCATGTCCATCTTTGATTTCTATAAATATTTTCTTGCTGAGCCTGAGTAGCTGGAGCTCTATCATTTCCTAACTTTTACAAGTCTGACTGCTCAGGATGGTAAGTTTTTCATTCTTACCACTAAGCTCACTAAGTCATCACTGTAGTTGAATTCTCTAGCTGTGCAAGTCGTACTGAAGTCACCTTTTTCTGATGTTGAAGTCTCTGCAGTGCATTTGAAAATATATTATTGGATTACTATAATGTCTTGGTTTGCAATTAATGGATTTTGTATGACTGAATTTTGAAATTATCCTATGTGCCTGCTAGAGTTTTTGCCCCACTGAAACACAAGGTTGATTTACAAAGTGATCAATGTTTGCTACATTTCTAAGTTGTAGGATGTGCAAGTTCTTTTTATCTAAAAAAACAAGATGAGAATGCTTGAATCTTCCAAATTAAGATTTAGTTGTATATTAAGTGTTTTTTTGTAGCACCACCAGTTTAGCTAGTTATAAAATGTGGTTGTACAAATTGTATAGATGAGAAGAGATAATGAAAAAACTGTTAATGATAGCTACTTTGGGGGTTTTTCTTTTGTTTTGCATTTCTGGTTTCTGGAAGTGTGTCCCTGCTGAAAAATTTACCTGAAGATAAATTAACCAAGATCATGGACTGCCTGGAGGTGGTAAGATACTCTTAAGTTTTTCTAAATAGTGTTCAGTAAGCTTTTAAAATAACAAGAATAAATTAGTAAAAACAAAACAAAAAAAAACAACGAAGCTTTTTTAGCTTTTTTTATAATATGACAGTGGTTTTGGAGTGGTCAGAGTGGAATTCCGGTTTTGCAGCAAATGATAACATTTAGTAGCATAAAATAAGTCATATTTTTAGCATTGAAGGAGTCAAGCAAGTAGATAAGAGGATCTATAATCTAGCCTTTATTAAGATTAACCCCAAAGTTGCTGACCAAGTCTCTGACTCTTTTTTTTTATAACATTTTACCTGTTCGCAACATGGATATGTAATGCTTTCATATGCCTTGGACCATATACACTGCAAAATATAACGCGAAAAAGGCCTCAGGCTTTCAACATATGAAACCGGACAAATACCTGTATTTTAGGGCTGCATCTCTCAGCAGCCTTTGGAGGTAAAGGCTTGATATATAGTCGTAGCTGTGATGTTTTCCAAGAGCAGTGGTGGCTATTTGTAGCTTTTAGTATAGAGAAGGTCTGTAGGAATCCCAGTCTTGGAACATTTCTGAGGATGGAAAACAGAAGTCACTTAGAAACTACGCTTCAGGTCCCAAGTTGGAGGAGGCAGATAGGGTGATGCATGGCACAAGGGGATGAAATCACGGTGTTGATTATGTGGAATGACAAATGGCCTTAGCATACCAGTATCACAAGCAGGGACATTTTTGGGGGAATTCCTGGCAAGGCAGACCTTTCAGGAAAAACTCAGAGGAGAAAAAAATGGGGTTGTTGTTTAAGAAGAATAGATCACAAAGCTGAAAGTTAGCATGGAAAAAATGCTTGATTGAAAGTTAAAAAATGGGGTAATGAAGGCAGGGTTCCTTAGCAGGGACAGAAAAGTTGGTGCTTTGGTAGCTTGCAATAGATGATTTAGGTATTCCCACTGAGGTGTCAAGCCCAAAATCAGTTTTGGAAATGGGATTTTGATTTAGAACTCTTTTAAGAGCTTTTGATATTTTTCTTCATTTTCCCCTTCTTCATAAGGATAATACCAGTGTTAATATTTATTTAAACAAATAACGTTCTGCTGCGTTAAGAGATGTTATATTGGCCACCATGCTTTATATAGTGGAATGCGTGCATATTATTATTGGATGCAACATATGCAGTAGATAGGGAGTTGAATATCATTGGATCATCCAGGTATATTAAGAAATCTACAAAGTAAACAGAATTTTCAAAGACGCCAATGATATATTGGACAATATTTTCTGTCTCTGTCCCCCCAACAGGAATACTATAACAAGGGAGATTATGTTATTCGGGAAGGAGAAGAAGGAAATACCTTCTTTATAATAGCAAATGGAAAGGTAAGATATAATAAACCTAACTTAGAAAGTAACAAACACCTCTATTTCAAAAGCTACCTGGAGGGGTGTGGTGTTCAGTAAAAGATGTGCAGAGAGTTGTTGGGGATGCTGTTAAGTTCACAGTACTGTGATAAAAGCCTGTAGCAGTGTTTCAGAGATTCAGGGAGCCTAATTTTCATTCACAATGGACCCATGTTACGCTGTTCTAATTAAAATGTAATTAACATATGTCCTGAAGCTTCTTGACACTGTAGCAGAAATATAAAGTCAATTTATTTTTTTTTTTAAGAAATTTGATCCTATGTCTTCTCCTGGATATTTCAGTATCTGATGGGCAAAACATAGACTTGTGACATATCTAAGAAATAACGGAGTCATAGGTTTAATGGAGAATGGCCTCAGGACCTATATCTTTCATTTGTTAGTCCCAGAGGAGGAAAGCAGCAGCCTTAATCCATTAGCTGTTACTTTGGAGGCTGACACAGGACACTAAAGAATCAAATCACGACAATTTTCATCAATAAACTTCCAGTAGGAGTTTCAGGTTTCCAAAATATGTCTGTGTCTGGCAATATTCTGGTTTGTTTTTTGCTAACAGGTGTGGGCATAAGAAGAATGTGAACAGTGGAAGGAGAGTTTCATGATGCAGGAAACGTTAGTTAATGTTCTGGGGCTATCTCTTTAGCTGAGAAGACAAAAAGCTCATATGATGCCTACACATTGTGGGAACTGAAGTATTCTTCAGTTTTTTCATTAAAATGCAATTTATTTTGCTCTGTTTTAAAAGGTATGAGGGAAAAATATTAGGGGCTGCGTAATAGTGAATATATTCATTTTTCCATCTCAGCAAAAATCAGAGAGGTGTCAGGCAACATTTGATGGTTTTAATTTTTGAGATGAGGGAGTAATTATATGTATTTGTAAGTCTTTCTGCAGCATTACTGAGTTTAAGACATTTATAAAATACACAGAAAAGAAGGGGAAACCATGCAATACTTTGAAACTTACCTTGCTAAATTTTCGTTACTGTACTTTTCAGGTGATAGTTACCCAGAGTACTGCAGAGCACTCACAGCCTCATCTGATTAAAACTCTACATAAAGGAGATTACTTTGGAGAAAAGGCTCTCATCAGGTTAGTTCATATTGTCTGATTCACAATGTGTAGTATTTCAATTCACTTATCACTATGTGTCGGATTACACAATGCATGGCCGTTTTGCATATAATCTTTGTTTTGATTGTAAAGTCAGCAAATGAAAGCAATGTTTGAATTTCTATTAATGTTTCGGGTTTTGCAGAGAGAACTTGAAAGTGTACACTGTCATCTACCTTTGGTTTTCCCTGAAAAAGCAAATGCTGACTCTCTCTGGATTGCTGCTTATTTTTTATATTTCAGTAAAAGCTGTGATGAAAATTTGTGAACGGGTTTGTATGACTTCTAGCATGGATAAGTTCCAGCATTACTGGATTGAGCTGTTGTTTCTGTGCTGGTGCCCATGATAGTTAGAAACAGAGAAAAGGAGTACAGAGAAGATAGGACCTGTGAGCCCAATAGCTTATGTAGCACATGTTTATGTGGGTAATTGAGTAAGAATCGTTTGGTCTCTGGTATGTTTTATATCTGAGGATCATATAAGAAATTAATAGTAAATCCTGATGTAATGCTTATTACATCTCATCCTAATTTGCTAAATGAAGTCATGACTGAAACCCCATTGAAACTGGAAAAAATACTGTGCTAGACAACAATGACTAGTAAATGCTATAATTGTGCATTTGGTTCAGCAATATTAATCCAGATACAGGCTGCAGAGGCCTTCAAGGACTTTCATCTATAGCAGCTTTGACTGTATCAGTACTGTGTGAGGTACTTTGAGGATTTTGATATGCTTCTGAATTCTTCTAATCTGTTTCAATTCTTAGTGATGATGTCAGATCAGCAAACGTTATTGCAGATGAATACAATGTGGAGTGCCTCGTTATAGATAGAGAGTAAGTATCATGGTACAGTTTAATGAAAGACTTGCATCCTCTTTCAGTAAGTTAACAGTAAGATGTGACTTCACTGTAGGCACAATCACAATGTTTTCTTAAGTGATTACTGACCAAGTGGTTATGCTTTTGGAATACTGACCTGTGGCTATGCTTTACACAAAGACATAGTGAAGAAAGGCCAACAAAAGGTGCAGGAGCACAGAAGCTTAAGAGTATTTCAGAGTTATTCTTTCCTTCCTTGTGGTGGTGATGTTTCACATTTATTAAGTGCAATTCATTGGCTCAGGGAACAACAAAAGCCTCTGCATGTCCCTGGTTTCAGGATATCCTTTTGGAGGGTACGTAGAATCATAGAATCATAGAATGGTTTAGGTTGGAAGAGACCTCAAAGATCATCTAGTTCCAAACCCTCCCCCCCGGCTGCAGGCAGGGACAACCTCCACTAGACTAGGTTGCCCAAAGCCTCATCCAACCTGGCCTTGAACACTTCCAGGGAGGGGGCATCCACAACCTTTCTGGGC